ACAAAATAATTAACAATCAAAATACTCTGAATTCAAATCTGAAGATCATGAACCACTTTTCATTTAACAGTGGTGTGGTAATAACTTGAGTTTATCAATTTTTAATGTAAATTTATGTAAGCTCGATTAGCAAGTAACAATTTACAATAATCAATGATAAGTTGAATTTTGTATGCTAGTGCAGAAAAATTAATAATAATAAAGTAACAAGTGGCAAGTAGAAGGTGGCCAATTTTCAACTTTCTTACTTCAAGTGACGGATAACCTAACCTAATAATTTTAAAATATTGTGTGTAAAATATTTCGGTGATTTCCGTGTTATTGTCCATTTTGATTATTTTTTTCTAGAAATTCTTTGAGCAGTGATTAAAAATTAGACAATATACACATACAATGGTCGATATTACAGATTTTAATTTTTACAAAAAAAATTGAAAGCTCAAGCACTTGCTTACTACTTTATAGTAACTTTTGAATTCTAATGCATGAATGCTATCGTTTTTTCTACTCTTTCCTTGTTTACTAATCGAGTGCACATAAATTATTAATAAAGAAAAAATAAAAGATAAAGTGGAAGTACACAGACAGGTCAAAAACCGAACATTGAGTGTGACCTAGAATTCAGTGTGCAGGGAGAAATCTTCATTTCAGTTACCTACTTGGTTAGTACACATCAGTCTTCCAGGCTGGAGTGTATGTAATTTTGCAATGCACAATATTAATTTGAGGCCAGGCTGCACTTGAGCTATTGACGAACCCAAAAGTGACATCACAATTGATTTTGGAATGCTGTGAACTGAGGAAACTGGCTGACAGGAATTGATTGACTATATACTGGGTGCCAGGTCACTCAGACAACGAAAAAGCCAATGAGTGCCAAACACGAATCATCAACTCCACATATAGGCCCTGAACCAAATTTAGGGGTGCCAAAGTCTTTGGTACGGAACCAGATCGGAAAGTGGGTCTATAAGAAATGTTTGAATACTGGGATAACACGCATGGAAAAAACCTTTATAGACTGCCCAAGAAGAGAACTAGAGCTGCTACCAAAAAACAGGAATCAGCTCAGAACAATTACAGGGCTATTCACCAAATAGAGCCAAAAGAACAGACAGCTTGACAAATATTATGCGAATGTGAATCATTGAATAACAAGAGGCAAATAATTTATTAACAACCCAAATAATGCCCAGAAGAATATGACATACATACAGCAAGGCACCTGTACAAACTAGTACAGGGCACAAGATTATTGGAATGGGTGTCATGAAAGAGAGTACAATGTTTTTCTGAGACTTGGAAAAATGGACAAGTTGGACGGTTCCCAAATAATAGTAGAAAAAAATAAATAAAGTGAAAGTTGGGTATATGAATCAGCCAAAAATCGTTCAGTAAGTAATTTATTTTCTATCCATATACTGACCAGACAAAAAACCAAACTGTATTGAATGGACTTTGAAAATCCAAAAATTTCAAGCAATATGAAAATATGAGAACGATTATATAAAATTACCCACTATTTTCCAAATGGACAATATGACCTTTTTGATTTTCAGAGATTTCAACCCAATAATTGACTGCAACGTCTTGAATATATAGTATAAAATGTAGAATAGTATTGAACATGCCTGAAGAAGCTTTTGTATAGTAAAACATATAATGCAGTTTTGTAAACTGATTATGAAAATCTCACACTTCAATTCAATAATTTTCATGTAAAATTTTTGAATAGAAATTTTTTATTAGACACAAATTATTTTAAGTATCACTAGGGTCTACTTTTCATTTAAAAAGTTGGTTGTTGAACCCTCACTATAAGGCTGTTAAATTATGAGATGAGATTTTTATGCAATAGGATGTATGTGGAGTTTTATCCCAACACCAAACCGTTATTTTTAAAACCTCGACATGTGTTTCGATCATCAAATAATTATCTTCAGGAGTCAGATTGAACTAAATATATGTACAATATTCAATCAATCAATGTACTTTATTGTCTAATAGGAAAGACTCTTGTTGACAAAGCATGGTTTACATCTTCAATAGATAGATAGATAGATACTTTATTGGTGTTAATATACTTACAGTATTCACACAAGTCAAACAAAGATACAACATAAAATAAGCTTATTAACATTATATTAAAATTACACACTAAAACAATCTTAAATAATTTCACGAAACTACATTTAAAGATGAATACAATATAAGAATATTATCATGATTCGTCTTAAAAGATTCTTGGGCATGATATATTTTTTACTTGGCTCGGCAGATGATTGAAGAGTTTTTTACTCTCAAATATGAGAGAGTGTTTGGTTAATGTCGGTTATTGTCCTTATTTATACCATAGATACCTCTGCTAGGTATCTGTGTTTTAATTGTCTTAAATTAATTTTACAATGTTGCCTAGTCTAATAGTCAGGTAAATCTGATAAACAAAATATTATTTCAACAAGTTATATAGTATACTATTAGGTATTGGTCCACCATCGTTATTCATATTATTATGTTTACTTATTTCTACACTCTCATAGGCATCTAGATGCCTGTTGTTATCAACTCGTTTGAATCTTAACGAACTAAAGTCTATGAAATGGTTTTGTATCAAAATATAATGGGTGACTGCTGATTTTTCTGATCTTCCATATTTTGGGTGCGCTGTTTTTTTATATCTTATTTTAATAGATATTTTAGTCTGTCCATTGAATCACAGCGCTAATATTTAATTTCGTAAATTCTAGACTTTTCCGAATTCTTGACTTTGTCCTTTGGATTCCCTAAAATTAATTTAAGACTAGTATATAAGGCAGCATTTTAAAATTAATTTAAAACAATTAAGACACCTAGCAGATGTATCTATGGTATAAATAAGGACAAAATTGTGAGTATATTTAGTTTAATCTTCCTCTTGAAGATGATCACTTGGTGATCAAAACACATGTCGAGGTGTTAAAAATAACGGTTTGGTGTTGGGATAAGACTCCAGTAATATTCATTACTACACCAAAGGTTCCAAACAGTACTTCACAAGTACAATAAGATTAATTTTAAAATAAAAGATTTACATGTTTCATAATTTTTTATAAGTTCGCACAAATTTGGTTGTTCCACACTGTATGATCAACAATATTTATTACGAAACCTTTTTTGACTTTCTGTTTCTTCACTAATATATAACGAAAAAAAAACTTTCTAAAGAACGGGAATAACTATCAAATATCTGTCTGATGTTGGTGGGAATTTTATATCAACACATCCATGTATTTCATCGTGTAGAGGTTTTTTATGAATAGTATTCTGTTTAAAATATTTGGTCTGAGGTTGAGAGAACAAAATAGATTTCTGTCTAATTCAGATTGGCTATTTATTTAGCTTTGTTTCTGAAGGAATGAAAGACATATCTGGGAATGATAAAAAGCTCTGAATATTTGTTAAATTCAATATCAGTAAAAGGAATTAGCGGTGAATTGGTGTGCTGCTAGTGGGCCAAACTCATAATAGTAAGATTGTGAATTTGAATCTGTCTACAACCAGATATTTTTCCCGTGACAATTTATCTAGATGAAAGGTATTCTGCCACTTTATATGGCTGATGAAACTACAAATTGCCACTGTGCCTCCTATGTGGTTTGATGAGTTATTAACGTAACCTACTCAGAACACAAGGCTAATAATGACCAAAGTTGGCTGAATCATACACAAACTTGTACTTTAAAGGATTGTGTATGAACGCTTCTATTCATTCACAGTGAGACAACTTTCTTAAAGTTAAAATGAGAAATCAAGTAAAAGTGTGATGTATGCCATCAAAATAAGGTAAGAGGAATTACTTATTTCAGATTGGACATTTCAACAGATAACATCGGTGAATGAGCTATACATTATCATACATTCATAAATGACTATGAATGATATTTGGTAATATAATTTCATCCCTTCTTTGATAATTTTTCATTAGTAGACTAATGGAGTTCCACAAAAAAAATCTCTAAAAAGTAAACACTTACATGAACCCTCGTTTCCAATATTTAGAGTATGCACAAGTATGTCAGATACCTGCCGCAATGAAGAGTTCTGATCTGATGTACTGAGAGGTTTACTTCTCAATCCGTGTAAAAATACAGATTCTAGGCAAACACAAATTGCTGCTACACAACTATCAAACTCAGTAGCAAGCTCAGTTTTTTCCCCAAATCTTTTTTGACATTCTTGAACACATTCAAGTAGTTGTTTGAGGAGTTTGTCTGCTTCATTCGGTTTTTGGGTTTTTGGTGACGTATCGATAGCGGACATCAGCCCTAAAGACTTGAAACAGAAAAAATAATCGAAAATAGTTTTCCAATGTCATCTCCACATACCATAATAGATTATGTAGAGCCCAATAATTTTGGAATTTGTTCATCAGTATCCATGTTATTAGACCATATTCTTGCAGTAGTATACTCCAATTTCAATAGTATTGGATGAAAATGTATGTCACTTGCATTTGATACTGAAAGAAATTTGATAACACATAATTCTGTTTATGAATCAGCTGGAACAAGTCACGTGACAATCATTCTCTGTCTCTCTCATTTGACCATGACCACAGATTAATTATCTGTACCATGACATTAAGCTTAGAGCAATGCTGCCACATTGTTTTCTTTTCATACTTTGTTATAAAAAACTCATCATTTTTTAGAGGATTGCCTCCTGATGGGATACCTATAGATTTTTTTATTCACATACATAGCCCCTTTTACGTGGTTGTCTGAACCACTCCGGCTTGGAATCCGGCGTGAAGGGCACATACATCATAACACAAAACGAAGTCCTATGAGAGCACATGGCATCCGCATAACTTCTTTGTGGACGGGTGTTATCGGCACCGTTTGGTGTAATCTTTGAACGACACGTCCGTCCACTATCTCGGAACTCCATTTGAAACAATAATATGATTAATCAAATATTCATAATCATAATATTACCATATCATGTCATATTTCTTGCGTCCAACAGCTTTACCGCTGAATGTGGTAGACGATGACGACAATAAACCTTTTTCCTGAAGTACGAAAAATCACTCACTAGCAACGCTAGTAGTTCGATAGGGACAAACACTGCCTTATCCTCATATGAACATATGGTAAAGTACAATGGGAAATGTTCCTCAATTTGGGTTATTACAGCAAATGCAAGTTTGAACAAAATAAAGTTGAGTTTTATTAATGAGTTTTTCAAATTCACTTCGAAAAATATTCAAATTGATGTTTCAAATGTTGGGTTTTAATTTTTAAAAGGATTTGTATCTCAAGTCACATATCTTTAGCATTTGCAATAATTTCAATTAGATTGGCATCTTTCTTCAATAAATCATTTTCATATCATTTCTCAAAATGTTCACACTACAATGAAGATTTCCATACAAATTTGATTGAGGTATCCGACTTCACTATGATCGTGATTATTATGAAATAAGATAGGAAAGTTCTTAATGATAATTACTCCATCCCTTTTTCCAGTAAAGCCAATTTAGAATTCATACTAGAACTCCTAATTCCCATTCAAATTCAGAAAATAAACTGTTTTGTGATGTATGATCTATGCCAAAATAATAAAAAAACATTAACCTCAATTTGCAGATTTCTATTTTTGTTTACATGTTTACCTGTGATCTGTAATGTTTACTTTTAATCTGGTCATCTGGATCTCATGATATGAATTCGTTCTCTGTGTCCAATTTCCATAGCCATAATATTAAGTTTCATTTCATATTTTTATTTATTGTAATGCAACAGACTTAATTATCAGCTTTATATAATGACTAGTAAATCCCACAGTTATTGTTCAGTGAAGGAATGTAAAAACTATTTATCAGAAAATATATCTTTGCATCGCTTTCCCAGAGATCCGAAACTAGCAATGCAGTGGAAAATTAAACTGAAAATTTCTAAACCACTTAGCAAATGTATGTGTGTTTGCAGTGAACATTTTGATAAAGAAGATTTTACACTGAGTAGGTAAAATGATATATGCATTAGCAAATATCTAAGTTATTATATTGTAGATACCAGAGATAGAAAATTGAAAAGACTGAAGATAGGAGTTATTCCATCTCAGAAAATTCCTAAAGAAATATCCACCAAAAGAAAAAAACCAAAGAATGGTGGATCCCTCAGGACATGGTAATACATATATTTCAATAAATGAGTTCAAAAACCATAATCAACATTTTTAAGGTCCAGAGTCAGTAGTGATGATTTGAGTAAGAGTATTCAACTTCTAGCAGATATTTCTGTGGGGGATGAAGATCCCTCCCTCAGGAAAAGACAATCGCGAAGACAACTTACTCAGTATCATGAAACAATTACCAACAGATTGAACGTATTTGTTGACGAAGAAGTGCAGACAAGTTTCCCTTTCAACAACTTAGATGTGATGAATTCTGACTACAGTATAAAATGTTTTACTGGGGTTCATCCAACGCTTATAAATACTCTGGTAGACTGCAGTAATAATGCTTTAACTTGCAATTCTAATGACATTCCTGATAACCTCAAATTGAGAATTGTGTTGGTGTTATTTAAACTGAAGCGCAATCTATCTTTTGATTGCCTAGCCATTATATTTAATTTACCAAAAACCACGTGTACAAAATATTTTTATTCAACTTTATCACTTCTTGCGACAGTTTTAAGACCTATTGTGAAATGGCCCACAAAAGAAGAGATACAAGCCAACACTCCAAGATGTTCAAAACATTTTGAGAACACCAGAGTAGTGCTGCATTGCACTGAAATAAAAGTTCGAAAAAGCAAGATTTTGACTGACAGACTTGAAAGTTTCTTGTATTTCAAAAATACTCTTGCCCTAAAAGTTCTAACAGGAATCACACCATCAGGTTTAATAGCCTACGTTGGTCCTTGCTATGGAGGGAAAACTAGTAATGAAGCAATTTTCAATGGATGTGACTTCACATCCCCATTGGATCCAAGTGAAGACTTAGTGGTGAATAAAAGTTTTTGGATTGGGAAGGAAAGTGAAGATTATTTAGTTGAAATCATTCAGCCCTCATTTCTAGATAAAAAACAATTATCAGAGGAAGAAGCTACTCTCACTTCAAATACTCCAAGAACACGGATTCATATAGACAGAGTAATTCAGAAAATGAAATCATTTAAAATCATTTCATCTCAGATTGAATGGTTTATGATTCCTCACATGGATGATGCAATGATAGTTATCGCAGGTTTGCTAAACTTGTCTCCACCTATTCTCTCCAGTGAGCTTTTTTGAATGAAATTATTTTGTTTGATCCATTCAAAATAGTGTAACAATTTGTTGATTACATTTATTGTATATGTTTGCTTTCAAAGAACATTAATTAAAGTCTCATATTCATTTGTCTTGATTGATATGTCTCCCTATATGATTTGAAATCCCTGAAAGAATCAATAAAATCAAAATAAATGATAAAAGAAAATATATTGTTCATTATAGAAACCTACAGCAAGACATCAAAAATGGTTTGATTGTAATGAATACACATAGAGTATTAAAATTCAAACAATTACGTTGGATGAAACCCTATATAGATCTTAATACTGAAATGTGTAATAGGTCTAACAACAAATCTGTTAAATATTTCTTTAAACTAATGAATAATGCGGTATATGGAAAGACAATGGAGAATGCAGATAACAGAATTGATGTTAGACTCGTTACACATTGGGAAAATATAAAGAAAAATATAGGTGCCAGCACTCTCATATCCAGACCAAATTTCAAAAATTGTTCAATTTTCACAGAAAATTTCGTTGCCATTCAATTGGGTAAAGTTAAAGTCCAGTATGATAAACCATTATATTTGGGATTTTCTATATTAGAATAATTATCAAAAACAGTCATGTACGACTTTTTCTATGGATGCATCAGACAACACTTTGGTGAAAATGTCTCTTTACTGTAGACAGATACCGACTCACTCATTTTGAAAGTAAATACAGAAAATTTTTATGAATTCAATTACAGTATAGTTAACCAATTCAATATTCCAGTAACAAGTTCAATCTTGGGTAACTTCAAAGACAAATTTCCGAATGATCCAATCATGAGCTGTTGAAATATTGTTATTCGTGAAGGTGTTCCTACACGATTCTCTGTAGTCTAAATCATATATCATTCTGATGAACTTTTTTTGTATTCCAAGGACTCTGGATGTTTCTGTGGACCTTCCCCATACTATGATGTTGCAGCTGATGGTGCTATATACCAGTGCATAATATAAATTAATCAAGTAAGGTCTATGAAAATTTGATTTAAGTGTATAGAAAGCATAATATAGTTTATTTAGTTTTTTGCAAATATAATCTATTTGGTTGTTAAATGAGAACTTGTAGTCTAGTTCCATACCTAAGTATCGTGCTGACTATGATGTGTTTATTTCAATATCATCAATATTTATTGTAAGATTGTGTGTTCGCCTGAGGGAACTTGTAAACTCTATGAACACCATTTTGTCTGTATTGTTAATTAGATGAGTCACCTCACACCAGTGCGCAAATTCCTCTGTAACCAATTTGATTTTCTTTTGGAATTCAGTAGCGGTGTCAGCCACAACAATAATTGTGGTATCATCCGCATAGATAAAGGTTTGTCCATGCTTACTATGAAGCAATACTATAATACTAACATAAAAACATATGCACAATAAAGCCACAATGTACAGGGAACTAATAATAATTAATCAAGAAAATAGACAAATTTTGATCTTAGTTGACGATGAGGTTTGTTCGAAAAATAAGGTGAATTTTCATTTTTCTCAAAAAATTATTTATTTATCATCAATTTCTATTTTGTCCCCTTCAAAGATATATATACTTGTTGTGCCAGCGTATTTTCCAATCCTGGAAGTAGTTCTGATATGCACTTTTGGGTATGTCCTTGAGCTCTCTCAGCGATGATATTTTTGGCAAAAAAATTACGAAATCTGGATCGCCGTTGACGTCGTTCAAGAATTCCTCGTTGACGTTCATGCGTCGGTTTTTTTGGTAACTTTTGGTAATTTTGGAACGAACTTCACTGCCACAAGTTTCATATCTAGTGATTCGACGAATCTCCATAACAATTTTCTTAACTTACTCAACATTTTCATCGGTTGTTGATGTGCTGGGGCATCCAGGGCGAGCGTCGTCATTCACATCTTCTCGACGTTCTGTGAAAATGTACGACTGGTAAACATTTTTCTGGCAATCACCGTATGCCATTGTCAACGTTTCAAGTGTTTTTGAGTACTTAATTCCATTTTTGACATAAAATTTGATCCGGAGGTACTTTTTTCAATATCATAGCCCACCCCTTGGCCATAATGTCCTCTTCGGTCTCAGGCCCCTTGAACTATTCTGTCGCTAGTCGCACTAAATGCTCAGTAATGTCTAGTCCTTTCCTTTTATTACCCGATTTTTTATGTTGAGGGGGGGCTGGGTTTGAAGTCGGCGTTGCAAGTAGTCCAGTAGGGGACTTACTTTCAGAAACTTGTAGTGACTTCGAGTCGACATCAAGAATTTGCGGCTGTAACAAAAAATGAAATACAGTTCAAAAAAGCTTTCGAAATTTAGGCACAAAAACAATTTACTAATATTTATTAGTACACATTAATTGGTACTTTATTCAAATGTGGTGATTTTAATGTAAACTTTAAAATGCTAGTATCGTTTTTTGTTTCTCGTCTAGGTTCTAAAATCACAAGATGGATGGAAAAGAGTTGCACAGGAGTTCGAAAATCAATGGAATTTCCCCAACTGCGTAGGGAGCGCTGACGGAAAGCACGTGTCAATCCAAAAACCTCTCAATTCTGGATCTTACTATTATAATTACAAAGGTTTTTTCAGCATTGTGCTTATGACTATTGTTGATGCTAATTACAAATTTCTGTTGGTGGATGAGGAAGCAAATGGCTGAGTGTCTGATGGTGGCGTGATGAAGAACACTTTATTTTGGCGCAAGTTGTGTGAGAACCAGCTTCACATGCTTGATCCTCGTCAGTTACCAGGCACTCACTACTAATAAGCAATGTCCGTACGTGTTCTTTGGAGATGAAGCTTTCCAACTTCTCCGTAATTTCATGAAGCCGTATAATAGGGCTGCTCTAACCAACGACAAACAGATCTTCAACTACAGACTCTCCCGAGCCAGAAGAGTCGTTGAAAATGCATTCGGAATATTAACGAAGATATTCAAAATATTTCAAAATGTCATTAAATTTGAACCACAAAAAATTAGAAAAATCGTTATGGCATGTTGCCATTTGCACGAAGAGATTCAAAATATTTCAAAATGTCATTAAATTTGAACCACAAAAAATGAAAAATCGTTATGGCATGTTGCCATTTGCACAACTACTTATGGTCAAAAAACAGAGCCAACTATTTGCCACCTTAGGAGATTGACAAGGTGGACGTTACTACTGGTGCTGAGGAACCTCGGTCATGGTTATCTCAGAAGTTTCAGTCTCTGCCATTTCTATCTGATCTTTTATGAAGAAAAGTTCATGGTAATACCAAAGCGAAAGTTGAAGGATTTCATCCGTAGACGTCCCTGACACCTTTTTTCTCTCGATGGCCCTGAACTTCCTGTTGAAATTTGTTCTGAGAATATTGATTTTTGCTTTTACTACCTTCACTGTTAAATCAGGTTTCAGCACTTTCAACGCACCCACGATTTTCTCTAATGGATGCAGTTTTCTTGTTTCTGTTGTAATAGTCCTTGCTCTCCACTTTCCACAATTCCGGACAATCGCGATATAATATAATCAACAGGTTAATGAATTCCCGCTCAGAGTTTTCGGGAAGCTCACTTTCCTTAGCGGACGCCATGGTTTCCACCTAGTGACTGAAGCAATGCTTGACGAAAATTGGCCTAGAAGGAAAACCCCTTCCTTCAACCGCTTGAGTCATTCGAACTTTCTATTAATCACCATCAAGCAATTTAGATCATGGTATCAAAGATTGTGATTCGATAAGCCAATTCAAGGGGGAAGGTTGAAAATGCACATAATCGGCGAGCGATTTTGATTTGATTTTATTGTTATTTCTTGAGTTCAATAACTTCATTACTATTCCAAAGTTTTTAAAGTGTTGTATTTGTTTCTTTGTATCTACATCAATACTTTTGTCTAACCTTTGTTGCTCACCTATGTGTAGATATTTCATATGACTGGTTGAAGTTTATTATTTGTCATTGTAACCAGTCATATATGTATATATTTGTAATTCATTGTTTGAATATTTCGACATTAGCCTAATGATAGTAAGGATCAAACATATTATATGTTAGCTAATTCTAAATAAAGGAATTGATAAACGAATAATATTATGATAAATAACCAATCTGTTGAGGAAATGAGAAAACGATTACCTGTAAATGATCCAGAAAGAAATGCTATCTTCACATCCAGACAGTTTGACTTCATAGGGCCGTATAGTCCATTATCAGTGGAGCCCTGAAGAAGAATTTGATTAAATTCGAAACACATTTGTTTATTTATTTATTTACATCCAACAGGCCAAGGCCTAATAAAAGAAGTATACAATAATAGAGCAGGTAACTATTTCTAGATAAATGTAAGTATAAGTGAACATTTTGATATTCAGCTAGGAACGAATCTATACAAACTATTTCTAAATTGATTCAGGGTAGAAAAAAATAAATCTATAGAGTATTTATTGACAGTTCGACAAATAGAGGTTAACGGGCTGTAGAAATGGTGCTGAGAATTGAGTACATTAATGCGGAATGTGATATTTGATCTGGACGTATATCGAGGTACATTAAAATTAATTTGGGACAGTAGAGTTGGTGAGTCAATGGAACCATTGACCAGTTAATAGATGAAAATGTGATCTGCATTTTCTCTTCTTTTTCTTAATGTTACAAAATTGAATTCAGTCAGAAGGCAAGTGTATTCATAATTTCTAACCGGATAGTTTCCATGTTTCTTATAATACGCAAACTTGAGGAATTTCTTCTTAACACCTTCCAAAGCATCAATGTATTTTGTTTCATTAGGATTCCAGACAGAACTACAATACTCTAGTTTACTACGTACCAAACTATAGTCAACTGAAAATGATCTTGATAGTGGGTTCAAGGTTCTAATGGTGGACACAAAGGATGTACTGAACCTAAAATGCAATGGAAATCATAAAGATAATGACGAGGGGGAAGTGAATTTTAAAGAAGATGGCACAAAGAAGGAAGCTTATGATGAAAACAATGGCTCAATGGATGCAAGTATAAGTGAACCTGTCTATGCAGCTACAGAAGAGGTATCAACAAAAAAAAATCTAATTATAGGTGATGAATATGCAAAAAGTTTTTCTAAAGTAATAGGAATGATGCTTAACAATAGTAAAAAATATGTGATTGAGGAGCACACTCAGGTTAATACGGAAATTTCAATGATAACCAAAGACTTTGCAGTTTCTCATAATAAATCCCAGCGACTTAGAAGCTCTCTGAATAATATTTTCAATGTGCGCATTAAATGTAATTTTATTGTCGAATAAGATTCCTAATTTGAGCGTATCATTAACTCTTGGTAAGTCGATATTATCAACTGTATAACTGAACTGGTATGGATTTAATATACGAGCATAAGTCATAATTTTACACTTTCCAGCATTTAGAAAGAGTTTATTCTCACAAAACCACTTTTGGAGTGAATTCAAATCGCTCTGAAGCAACATAAATCAGACAAATCTGGCATTTTTCTGAAAAGCTTTAAATCATCAGCAAAGAATAGCTTTGTTGATTGTATAGAAGCGCTTATGTCATCTATAAAAAGTAAAAATAACAGCGGTCCCAAATTAGATCCTTTGGAAACCCCCGACTGTACGAAAAATACATCCGATTTTTTACCTTCATACTCGACATATAGACTACAATGATTCAAATACGATCTTAGTAGATTTTGTATTTTTGAGGAAATACCATATGCATCCAACTTCAATATTAATTGTTGATGGGAAACTTTATTGAATGCCTTGCTGAAATCTGTATTACATCAACTTGACATCTATTATCCAAAGAGTTGAATATGAATTGTTCCCCTCATTTCATGAAGCCATGTTGAAATTCTGATATCGAATTTCTCACATGTACATAAATCAAATCGAATNTGCATAAATCAAATCGAATAAAATGATCTCAAAAAGTTTGAAGAATACAGAGATTAGTGAAATTGGTCGATAGAGATTTCTGATTTATTTCCTGATTTGTGTACCGAACAAATCCATGATACTTTCTACTCCTCTGGATAAACCTCTTTTTTTAGTATGGCGTTGAAGATAATGAGTAGAGGATACTTCAAAATATTAATATGTTTTTTGACAAGTTGGCAAGGTATATTATCCGGGCTACATGTTAATTTATTTTTGAGTCTAGAGGCTGCATTCAGTATATTTTCTTCCAATATCTCATCAATGATCAATAATTTTTCTTATTAGTCAGTGGGCTATGCTTGAAGACTGGCAGTAAACAAATCTAAAGAAATGAACTTTAAACGTTCAACCAGTCTCGAATATATCTACACAGTAGGTCGATATAATCCAACGCTCTTCGTGGTATTAGCCAGGGGAGTAGTTGTTTTCTGATAGACGTCAGTCCATTTAACCTACTGTGTAGGTATATTCGAAACTGGCTTGAACGTTTAAAGTTCATTTCCTTAGAATTGTCAATAAACTATTTAATTTGAGAATATTACTTTTATTATAATCATTACAGTCTGTAGAATAAACACTTACACGATTTCTTCGCGCAAATTATCGGCATTAATATCCAATGAATCATTTGCAGCTACTTCTTAAACGACTTTGATCTTGGTCATCACTTAGTTTAAATGAAAAATTAAACACGTGATTATGATTATTCAATAAATTAAATCTTTCGTCTACGGAGGATAAACTTATGATGCACTGTTTGGAACCTTTGGTGTAGTAATGAATATTACTGGAGTTTTTTCCAACACCAAATCGCTATTTTTAATACCTCGACACGTGTTTCGATCACCAAGTGATCATCTTCAAGAGGAAGATTAAACTCTTGAAGATGATCGCTTGGTGATCGAAACACGTGTCGAGGTGTTAAAAATAGCGATTTGGTGTTGGGAAAAAACTCCAGTAATATACGGAGGATAAAGCTTGATCTGATATATAAAAAATACGTTAATTTTAAAAGCGGTTTTCGGATCATTTATAGTATGGTCTTCGTGTTCATAATCAAAACTCTTTGGAGTCTTACGACGTCTTAGGGGTCTGGATCTGGAAGTTTCAAATTCAGCCTCGACAATTTTTCGGCAATTTTCATGGCATCATTTACAATTTCCTCAAAATTTGCGTCCGTTCTAATTTTTATCAAAAACTTCTTTAATTCCGGTAAAGCATCTAAAACAACTTGCATATTCATATCGACTGCAGAATTTTGCTTACAAAATTTACTTTTGTCAATATCATATGCCATATATTTAGTGAACAAATGAATGAACAGGAGCATATCATTTCTGCTAGACATTTAGAGTCATATTTTCCCTCTGATCATATGATATACCATTTGATATTTCATATAAGGCATCATAAATTTCTGGTAAATTTGTAAACAGCGGTTTGATAGCATCTATTCTGCTTAACCATCTTGTCTCAGACAATGGTTTTAAGGTCAAATTTATGACATATTTTTTTAATATATCTCATCTTTTGGTAGAAGACGAAAAATATTTATATAATTCTTGCACAATACTAAAAAATCCAGTCGTAGGATGATTAAGACTGGCAGCGTCATTTACTATTAACTTTAAACTATGGCTAGTGCACGGTACATAGAAAGTGCGGGGATTAAGATCCAGCAATCTTTTTTAAAGACCAATATTCTTACCGCACATATTTGATCCATTATCATAGCCGTCCCCTTAAGTTGTTCATGTCCAAATTAATTTCGGCTACTTTGAACCTCCCTTTGATCACCTGTTTGTGGCATTTTATAAACCTGATGATTGACGATGATATAACTGATAACACACACAAGTTGTATTAACAAATTCACACAGTTTTCTGAAAGAAAACAATTGCTTTTCTCAGATGATTTGATCAAGTTACCCAATAAACCTTTCTTCCATGTATTTAGTGAACAAATGAATGAACAGGAGCATATCTTTTCTGCTAGACATTTGAAGTCATATTTTCCCTTCTGATCATATGATATACCATTTGATATTTCATATAAGGCATCAGCGGTTTGATAGCATCTATTCTGCTTGACCAACTTGTTTCAGACAATGGTTTTAAGGTCAAATTTATGACATATTTTTTAAATATATTCCATCTTTTGGTAGAAGACGAAAAATATTTATATAATTCTTGCACAATACTGAAAAATCCAGTCGTATGATGATTAAGACTGGCAGCGTCATTTACTATTGAATTTAAACAATGGCTAGCACACGGTACATAGAAAGTGCGGGGATTAAGATCCAGCAATCATTTTTAAAAACCAATATTCTTACCGCACATATTTGATCCATTATCATAGCCGTCCCCTTAAGTTGTTTATGTCCAAATTAATTTCGGCTACTTTGAACCTCCCTTTGATCACCTGTTTGTGGCATTTTAAAAACCAATATTCTTACCGCACATATTTGATCCATTATCATAGCCGTCCCCTTAAGTTGTTTATGTCCAAATTAATTTCGGATACATTAAACCTCCCTTTGATCACGTCTTTGTGGCATTTTATAAACCTGATGATTGACGATGATATAACTGATAATACACATAATTTGTATTAACAAATTCACATAGTTCTCTGAAAGAAAACAAATGATTTTCTGAGATGATTTGATCAAGTTACCCAATAAACCTTTCTTGAAATTATTAAGTTTAACTTCGGACTAAAAGATGATCATATCATATAATACCACTGATGGCTTATCTATTCGGATATTCATGAAAGTAAGTTGGATAGTACTTTTGTTATTTTTGTTAGTTTTTCATATGCTAACTGGACTCAATTTTTTGTATTTCTTGGTCTCAAAAAATGAAAAAAAAACTCTCATATTTTTGAAAATGTAACACACAAATTTGTTGGAATTCAATCCAATTGGAACTTTCATTGATCTATTAATCTACTTTTACCTGTTACTATATCATTAAATCTAGGCTAGAATTTGATAGTTCGTACTGGAACCTCTAGCGTAAAATGAATCTATCGAAAACACTTCCCCAACACCAGAACAAAAATGACGTATCCCAACACGCGTTTCGATAATCATGTTAGCGTCCTCAGGAGATCATTATGACTAAATTTTACTACTATGTTGGTGTTTTTATATGCTAGTGGCCTAACTACTACCTGTTAGCATTACCAAACTATACCGGTTACTATTACCTAAACTATCTGTTTTTAATACCTCTAATTTGTTATGTATTTCCTTTGTGTTGGTGATTACCT